TTCCTGCTGTGGCAAAGATTCCCGGGATTAAAGGGAAGGCAGTGATTCTGGTGCTCCCTCTAAGATGGTGCTTGGGGCTGGTGCCTTGCTCTCCACCTGAGTTTCACTGTTGATGGTACCTTAGGGTGTGTGTAGACAAAATGGAGGTTTACTTCGCCCTAAATTGAAGCAGTGGGTTTTTAAAAACACTACTTCGATTTAGGGTGAAGTAAACCTCCATGTTATATACACCCGTGTCTTACCTGGCTCTCCGGCAGCGGGGAGGGGAGGGTGAGCTGCTGGCAGGCAGAGCAGTCCCTGGGCTGCGGGGTGGGAAGGGAAGGGCTGGTGCTTCCCTCTGCGGCAACAGCGGTTCCCCCCAGGCAGCACCTACCTGCAGGCAGCCAGCTTGGGTGATCCTGGGGAGCACTGCAGTCGCGGAGGGAAGGACCAGGTCCCTGTGCAGCTCATGCAGGCTCCGGGAGGTGAGGGGAAGATCAGGCTCACCATTTTGTTTTTTTTTCTTTGGTGGAGCCTGCCTTTCCGGGCTGCTGCCAAGCTGCCTGAATGGGCTGCCTGCAAAGCCCATGAGCCGTACGGAGGCTGGTGCTTCGCTCTGCGGCTGAAGGGCAAACTAAAACTCCTCAGAGGTGTTTTAGTTTGCTGCGTTCCAAAGTCACTTAAGGAGCATTATGCCGCTGAATGTGCTACAGTGGCTGGAATTAATGCGCAATATGCTGCCAACGCATGCAAACACCAACACCATTAAAGTGGTGCAAAAGCATTTAACCTGCTTTAAAGTATCATGCACACATGCCCCTCATTTCGTCTACACATGCCCTTAGAAACTGACTCTAAGCTTATGTCTTTCTGAATGTTTTGGTGCTACTCTGCTCTGCCCTCTATACACATAAGGAAGAGATAGTCCTGCCCCCAAAAATATTACAATCCACACATACAGCTGTAGACAACAGAGAAAAAAAACCCAGAAGGTAGCAAAAGGTAGAGATGCCCGTCTATGTGATAAACATTTAACCTATTGCCAGTTGCAGTTAACCAGCTGCCTAACTAGTGTCAGCCACTGGAATCAGCTTCAACATGAAACCTCCATTTTGCGGGCCAGTTATAGATGACCAATGGTAGACACATCTGGTGCTCTAACTCTCCAAAAACTGAGCTTAAATATTTATACAACACCCTCAAATCCTGAACATCCTCCAATCTCCCAAACTGTTGTGTGCCATCTCCTCAGCAGTAAGAAGCATGTCACAAGAAACAACAGCTGTCAGACCTTTCTGTAATGAGTTATACAATCATCTCTACAGCAGACACACCTATCTGTGTTTGCTGCTTGAAGCAGAAAGAGATGGACTAGATCAGCCCAAACTGTCCCAATCCAGCCCTCAGTAATGAAATATTCAGACATTAATAATAAATGTAGCCTGACTTACTCTGCACTGTGTAACATTTTTACAATATTTTCACCTGTTTCAATACTTGGCTCCTGTGGTAGTTTGAGAACATCATCAGGATGGGGTTTGCAGAGTCCATGGAAAGTCGCCAGGTCAAAACACTCGTGAAGCAACTGTATATTCACTTGAGAGCACACACACATGAACCCTACTGCAGCACCATTATCCTGAAATATCAAAACATGATCATAGCACTCAGACTTAAATATCAGGGCAGTGAAAATAATTGATTGTTCAGTTCAGGGGCCAAACCAGAAAACAAATTACATTTGTTCTGTTTCAAACCAAGGTGAAAAACTGAAAAAAAGTTTCAGCAAAAATACAAATCTTTCAAATTAAAATCTTTCATTTGACCTGAAACACTGCTTTGTGTCCATTTGAGAAAATGTGTCATGAGAAATCTAATGGGTGTGAAGGCCTAGACTTGGGCATCAGTCACAAAACAAAGACGAAGAGGTGGTGATGGTGGTGCTGCTCACCTCCCTCCCTCCGAATGGTTAGGGCACACCCGCAACATATAGGACACCCAAGCTCTCTGCTTGATTCTTAGCAGGGATTTGGACCAAGGTCTCTCATCTTTTCCAGGTGAGCATGTTGATCAGAGCACTATCTGCTTGTCTGGGATGGGCTGCTTTCAGGCTCTCCTGCTTAAGCTGCTCCATTTTGTATCAAATACCCTCTAAAATAACTGCAAGTTGGTGGTTTGGGTAGTCACCAAGGAGGTGGAACTCTGGGGATCCATTATCTGCTCCAATGAATATTTAAGTATTCCACATCAACAGGAAGAACACCAACAGAAGGCAATGAAGGGGCATGACGTACAATGCCATACAGCATGGCGGCTTGGGCATTCTCATAGGAGGCAGGAAACAATGGTTCAGATCCCTTCAGGCAAAGGGAAACTGAACCCAGGTCTACTGCATCCTAAATGAATGCTCTAACTACCAGGCAACTGGGTAAAAGCCTGCATTCATTGCCTCCCCATTCTTGTTGACTTTGTGAATATTGCCGAACCATTTTTTCAGACAAAATTATTCAAGAAATTCAAGTCATCTTTAGGAATAGTTTTAAGTTGGACAAAACTGCTTTTCTTCTGTGATTAAACCATACTTGAAAAAAAAATCCTTCAGCCCAACTTAAAAGCTAAAAAAACATAAGACGTCATTACTTTTGAGCACAAGAAAAGGCCATCCAATCCATTATACTTGATCCATCTAATCTTAAACCCCATCTTTCTAAAGTGACTGTGTACTAGGCAAAGCAAGATTTTGAAAGATTTATATGAGAATTTCTATACTGAATCAGAACTTATGTATAATTAGCTTCATATCCAGTTTCTAACAGGGACAGTACCAGATATTTCAGAAGAAGATGCAAGAGTATATAAGAATTTTGACTTTAAAAGGAATATGGAGGAATAATATGGTGTCACATATTGCTCTCAGTTTTCTTGCACAATTGCTTTGTAGGCTTTTTATATTTCCTGTTGCAAATTATGAACAAATATTAAGATACAAAATGACAAAATAGTCATTAAAAACTAAAGAAAAACCATGGTAACAGTAGATTTTTTTTAAACATGGGAAAAATTTTCCGTTTTTCAGCATAATGAATTCTTGCTTATTGAAAAAAGAGCTTAAGTAAAATCTGAATCTAGCTAAACTCAATCATTGATGAAACATTATTGTACAAACTGCTTTGAACTTTCAAAGTGAAAAGCATACTTGATTTCCATTTGAAATTTTTTTAACTCAGGAAGAAAGGACATAGCAGTAATGAGCACTAAATATTTCCAAGGTATGGACATAAAGAAAACAAACACCCTAACAGATGAACACCAAATACGAGGAGACAAGGATATTGCATTGGTGAAATGGCAGTGACAGTGGATTAATGGTATGGAACTGGAACTTAATTTTATAACCTGCAAGTAAGCAAGAAACAGGCACTGAATATAAAAATCAACATTGATTTTGCACTAAAAAACCTTGGTAGTACCTTAATTGCAAGCTTTATGTGCAACTTATTGATAAAACACAAATATCCAAAAATAAGTATTTTTTCCTTAATGCCTATTAAATCCTACTATAAAAAGCTGGATTTATACAGCTGTTTTCGTGGGCCATCAACACATCTATATATATAAGTTTAATTTTCCCCTGAACAACAAGTGATTGTTTATTTGTCTTGTTTGCGTAAGTGAACAAAAGCTGGGTCACTGCAGTTGTCTGGCTGCTATGTAATTTTAGGCCCAAGGCTCAGCAGAGGCTGATTAACCAATCCATCTACCATATGTGCAAAAAGAGGTTGCCAGCTTCATTCTCTGCAGGGAAAATTGGCATCTATCTTGGTTCACATGAAGGTGTCTTTCCAATCTGCAGCAGCATTGGCGAGTCTATACTATGAAGGCTTGAAACACCTTTTGCTAGTTTCATATTGAGCTATAAATGCATGATAAAATGTATTATTTATAATATAGCTGTTTGTAATGTGCTATTACACTGATGGTTTATTGTTTGCCATTTGGTTTCAAACTGGGGTGATTACATTTTAAGGATCTTTTAAAATGCTTTGCTGTAAGAAGCAGGTTTTTGGAATTAAAGTAGATTATCAGCACACAGTACTTTACAGAATCACAAAAGCTAGCAATTAAATCATATAAAATATTAATGTTGTTTTAAATTCTTTTGCCTGCTGGCCACTATCATTTCCCTCTTCTTTGCTCAGAGGCTAACTCCTATATTTTTTAATTCAAAACCCCCAAATTTCCTGCACAGGACAGGGATGGAAAAGATTTACTATATTCATTCATATTGTCCATTTTCAGCCTCTCTGATTCTGCTTTTTGAAGATATTTTTGACTATGCAAGTATCCTTGGTTACTAGTCTTCACAAAGCAGTATAAATTTGGATAGTAATGTAATTTGATTATTTATTATGCAAAATGTCCAGAATGGCAACATGAATGATTTAAGGCTGCCTCTTTCAATTATTTTTAGGAAATTGACTGAACTGTCTAAGCCACAGCTTCATTTACATAACCAAGAAAAACAAAACACATAAACAAATAATTCAGGGACAGAGTGTGGCATATAGCCAGAGCCCTCTACTGGAGGCAAGGCATTAGGAACAGATGAGCAGTCCCAAGGGAGTTATCTCCAGGCAATGCCTGCCAGAGCATTCCAGTTGTGCTGAGCTGAAAGAAAACTTTGTGGCCCTTTAAAGGTTGCGACATACTGCTTGCATGTCATGTCTGTCCAGCCTTGCTGGTCACTGTGTGGGTGACGGCTCTTTTCAATGAGTGGTTTTTGCTGAAAGATCTGTGCAAGAGCCCCTATGATCTCCAGGAGACAGGGCCTGCAATTCTGGCTGGCTCGTTGTCTGGCCACACAGGGACAGGAATGCTTCTAAGTCCCACCAACAAAATTTGTACGGCCATGGAAAACGTAGCCACAGTTTATCTTTCTGTCATAATATATTTCTATTCTTTTCTGGAAAAAGGTTTACAATGCTCATCTGACATGAACAAGTCATTTTGTTGGAAGCTAGGGTTTGTCTGCAAAGTGTTGAGTATGTTCAGTGAAATGCTGTGAATCCTCAAAGCCTAATGAGGCTCTAAGATTTTGAGGTTACAGATATCAGCGCCTTGTATTGGGCTCTTAATTTGCCAGGTCTCAATTTCCTCAAATGTAAAACAGATGAGAACCCCATATGTTTTGCATGATTGCTGAGGCACAAAGGATGCTTGCAAAATATCTGGGCATCTTCTACAAGAAGGGCACTTCATAAAAAAAAAAAGTAATACCAATATTTATTACTGACTCATTTGTCCAGCTCCTACTCTTAAAGGAGATGCCTAGTACAATGAAGCAATCCTTTTTCTTACAGGACTTAAAGCTCACTAGGAACATGGCTAATATTCTTGAGTGTCCAGTGAGCAGCAACGTGATGAATTCTGTATTCTAAGGTGCAGCAAATTTTGTTTTGTTTTTATTAACTGAGACATGGCCCCAGCTGCAATACTAACACGGTATAACAAACATTATGTATGGCTATGCCAACTGGATTGTGAAGGACTGACCTCACAGACCACAGCATGATTGTCTTCATCTTGAGCTTCTATCATCTCAGCAAGGAAGTATTCTCCATAGGTTTCTCTCAGAGTTTCACTATGGCGCATGAAGATAGGCATGAGATCATCATGATCTTCCACCCTATGAAAGACAGGATGTCTTTTAGAGTCAGCTATGTTTTAATGTGCTCTCATGCTTAGATACTAATACTTTTATCCACAATTTACTTTTCAGAGTGCAGAGTATGCGGGAAGGTGAAGTGACGCGCCCCAAGTCACCCAGAAAGCCAATGGATGAATTTGCGATAGGTGCCAAGTCTCCAGAATCAGGGTCAAATGATCTATCCAGTAGGCCGGGGTGGCCAACCTGTGGCATGAGTGCCCCAAGTGCCACAGCCATCCTCTCTCTGTGTGGCACACAGCAAATCAGGGAGGGAGCAGGCAGCACAATGGGAAATCATGCTGGGAGTGGAAGGCTGAGCAGCTAATCAAGCAGGGAACACAGAGCAGGAAGCAGAAAGCAGAGCAACAGGTCAGGAAGAGAAAGGGTATCAGAATGGCACTTGAGGAGGGTTCAGAGCTCATCTGTAGTATGAGTGCCAAAAAAGGTTGGCCTCCAGTGTAGTAGACTATAGTGCCTCCTCCTGTGCTATTACAGTTCAGTTACAATGCCAGGTAAACCAGAGGTAAATGTAAAGAGTAACTTGGATAGTTGCTGTTTCTTACAAGAGTGAAGCAGTGTATCACCTAATAGTTTAACCATTTATTACATTACTTAACACAAGAAATCTTAGGAACATAACAGAAGCTGCAAGTATAATTCTACCACATCTGTTTTTGGGAGACAGGACTCCAGTAGGTAGAATGGGCAGAAACCAAAGGGCCACAAGGAAAGCCAGTCCTTGAACAGTTGGGCCTAGTTGCTACCTCTCATTGAACTTTCTGGTCTCATTACCTCAGTATTAACATTATGGCTGACTCAGCAGTGCTGCTTTCTACGATAGATGCCCATGACTCTCTTCGAAAGTGGTCAAGGAACCCAGACAATATCTTGATGCTGCTCAGAGCAAAAATAACTTATGCAACATTTCTGGGTGCCCTTTACACTCTATAAAGTACCTGTTCCTCGGTGACCATCCGAATCCTTGATGAGACAGAATTAAAATTGTACGCTGTAATTACAGAAGGGCTCTGAGATGGGGAATAAATATGTTGAATGACTTTCTTCCCCACAGTGAATTTGGGGCATTTACCATAAGCACCCCATGATTCCATGCAGAGGGGAATATAATAGTCCCTTGAATGTTACAGAGTATGACAATTTAGCAACAAACCTGCAGCCCAAGTTTGTCACGTACTCACCAATAATCTATAACTATAGCCACAGATAAACACCACACACCCATACACACAAAAAAGGATACAGCTAAGGTTGAAAGATGTTTTTGTTAGGCTCCTACCAAAGCTAGAAAAGAGAAACCTGCCCTCCTTAGTACACTGCTAGCTATGACTGGTCATCTGAGAATGGTCAATACTCCTTTAGTGATTAAAGAACATAGAGCACAAAAATGTACATTCAATGAGCTGGTCTAAATCAACAAAGATCTCAGTGGAGATGCACCAAAGTTTTTGCCTGGCTATTCCTACGGAGCTGTCTGCAAGAGTTATAATTTGGCCCATGGCCAGCACTGTTTTCCCTGTAGAGGAAAATGATACTTAGGGTTTTTTAAATGGTTTTTAAAAAATGTAAGTAAAGTATTATCTTCCTGTATAGGTCAAGCTGTGCTAAACCCAAGTCAAATCATAACTCTTAAGAGACAGCACCATAGGAAGAGCCAGGCAGAAGCCATTATATTTGGATAGGGCCAAGCAGGTATAATGCTATCCCATGATTTCCAGGTAGAGCCCTTGGCTAAAAAGGCTGAAAGGGCCAAAGGTACAAACTACATCTCTCCCACCATTCTGCACAAGACTCTAAGCACTAACAGGGTCTGAGGAGACAGGGCATCTCCCACCCCAAGTTCTCTTTGTGCTGTGTAGGGTCATCAACTGTACTGGATAGCAACATGTTGCATATCTGAATTATAGAATCATAGACAATTAGAACTGGAAGAGATCTCAGAGACCATCTAGTCCAATCCCCTGCTCAAAGCAGGACCATCCCCAACTAGATCTTCCCAGCCAAAGTTTTGTCTAGCCAGGTTTTGAAATCCCCCAAGGATGGAGCTTCTACCACCTCTCTGGGTAACCTGTACCAGTGTTTTAAAAAAGAAGGTGCAAGAGTGGAGAGAATGTTAGGTGAGGCAGGGTGACAAGACAGAAAGATTAGCACATCTCTAGAATCATAGAACGTGTCAGTCAACTCACCAACATAAATCACAGACAACATCTAACAAAGTCCATCCTCCCAGTCAGAGGTCGCAGTAGGCATCACAGCGCCTGCATCAGAGAGGTCAACCTGCGGCTCAGGAGTTGGTGCCATGGTGCAGGATTTGGCTTCCTGGACCACGACCCACACTTCCTGGCAGGGGACTTCCTGGGGCGTGATGGACTTCACCTCTCAGCGAAAGGTAAAAGTCTTTTCTCCAACAGGTTGGCTGATCTCCTACGTTGGGCTTTAAACTAGCTTAGACGGGGGACAGGGAGGAAGAAGGAGAACATCAGGAACCTGCAATCCAAGGGACAGCCAGCAGTACAGCACAGGTGAGCAATAAGCAGGTAAGCAATAGGGGGCCCATTGGGCATCAGGGCCGGGGGGCAACAAAGGCACCAGTCACAGGGCTCAAGTGCCTATACACCAATGCTAGGAGCATGGGGAACAAGCAGGATTAATTAGCACTCCTGCTTGCAGAAAACACTTACGACTTAGTGGGGCTAACTGAAACCTGGTGGGACTCTACCCATGACCTCAATGGTACACATTGAGGGCTATAAGCTGTATAGAAAGGACAGAGTGGGGAGGAGAGGGGGAGGGGTTGCATTCTATGTCAAGGAGCATTATACATCAACCCTTATCAAAATGGATTTGGAGGAGGAGAAAGTAGAAGGATTGTGGGTTAGGATACATGGAGGACAAGGGGAAAGAGATTTGCTGGTAGGGTCTGTTACAGACCCCCACACCAAGGGGAGGAAATAGATTCGGAACTCCTGAGGCAGCTCTCAGAGACTGTAAAGGCTAGGGAGGCAGTAGTCACGGGGGACCTAAACTACGCTGACATCTGCTGGGAGATGCAGACAGCAAATTCCCACCGTTTACACAGGTTCCTATCTGGTGTACAGGACCTCCACCTGATGCAGGAGGTACATGGTCCCACTAGGGGGAATGCCTTACTAAACCTGGTATTGGCAACAGGGGATGACATGGTAGGGGACCTACAGATCAGCGGTCACCTGTGGGACAGTGACCACCAAAAATAGAATTCATCCTAAGGCGTAGAGTGGGTAAGGTAACTAGTAGGGTGGAAGTGCTAGACTTTAGGAAGGCTGACTTCAGCAAACTCAGGCGTTTAGTCTATGACGCACTACAGAGTAAGAGATTTTGCGAGATGGGAGCCCAGGAAGGGTGGCTGTGCCTTAAGGAAACTATACTTCGAGCACAGAGGGAGACGATCCCAATGTGGAGGAAAGTGGGGAAAGGGGCCAAGAGGCTTCCCTGGCTGACCAGAGAAATCCAGAGCAGCCTAAGGGCAAAAAGGGGGGCATATAAGCAGTGGAAACAGGGAGGGATTACTAAAGAGGAGTATACCTCCTCAGCTCGCAGTTGTAGGGAGGCAGTTAGACGGGCCAAAGCTACCATGGAG